AGTTTTTGACTCTACTAAAGCATAAAAATACCATAATATGTTTGCAGATATTTAAGAAACATGCTAAGTTAACATACTTGTTTATCTGAAAAACAATGCTACAGTCAGTTATTCTCCTTTGAAAATGTGCGTTCCGTGTCGGAATGTCGGTCTCTGCCAGTTTACCCAATTGTATTTCGGGACCCTGGATTGCCAGTTGGCGAAAAACACAGTGTATTTCATTTCATTCATCGTCAAGTGCTCTCGTTCCTGTTGGTGTCGTCAATCTGGAAACCTGCGTGTGCGTCAAGTCTGAGGAGGAGGGGCTGGGTGAAAAAAACCCTCTCCGCCCCCATCAAGTTAGCCAGGGAAGAAGCATACTTCAACATGTTAAAAATAAGTGTAATATATACTGCAAAATAATCATGAAATTGCATTATTTAGTCATACTATTCAACTGGTAGTCATGTTAGCACCTATTAAAAATCAAAAAATCAAATGTATTTCGTTTGTATTGTGTGTGCGGGGCACCGGACAAATGGGTGTCTGCTAGGTCTGTAAACTTTTGAAACGCATGTGACTTGAGGCTGAGCTCTAATTGTCTTGTTTCAGATTGTCCTCGACCCTCCCACTTTTGATTTTAGCGAATCAATATTGTTTTTATGTACAGTATATTGGCCTCATGTGATTGGACCATTCTCGACTGTCAAATAGGCGCAATATCTCTTTCAAGATGAAAGTAAATTTGATTTTAACTTTACAAAAAATCCTTTCACAAGGCGTTCAAATGAAGAAAAATATATATGGATGGAGCTTGGACGGAGTTGGCTCGCTGGATGCGATGTAAGTCATGCCTTTTTTTGTTTTCCCTGTTTGTTATTTCAAAGTCCTGTCAGCGAAGCGTTGTGGGCAACGACACAGAAGGTAACTGAAACAATGCGGTTTAACTCAAGGCGATCATTGGGGGTACAAGTACAATGGTTTGTGTAGATGATGCAGTTACACAATGGACGTGTCTCTTCTCAAGTAGATTATGAGTCCTTATGTGAGTGCTATTATATGCACAATATGAAAATAGATAAGTAATAAAGTGTCTTTATTGCACGTACATTCAGTCATGTGTGATAACTTGAGAAAATATATTGTCAATACCATTAAAATTCAGAGAAAAAAATAATGGTCGATCAGTAACTTTAGGAGATTACAGTTTTGCATACTATATTGGACTTTATTAAAGGTTATGAAAATATAATGAATTTATATGCATTTTTATATTTAGTTTTTTAGTCTTTATTTAGTCTTTGAACAGATCTTGAAGAATTTGCTATCCTGTGGCTCCCTCGTGTGGACAACATTAGCATTATGGCCTTCATCTCTGAACAACATTAAGATGAAATGGCCAATATTATTTGAATGAATACAAATGTTTAATGATTAGTTTACTGATAATATACCCACATTAAACTCGAATTTACTGATTCTGTATCTTATTTCATGCATTAAGAGTTGAATTTTCGACTTACATTTTTAAGCAGTGATGATTGATTATTATGTGACTTGTTACATGTTTTTTTTAAACAATTATAATATATAAACAATATAATTATGATTCATTTGTATATTTTCTTGTTTTCATTTTAATTTAAGTTAAAGTATTCATTCAAGTTGTCATTTTTAATATTTTTTTGTAAATATATTTTTATAAATTTTTATTTCAACTAGTTATTTTAGTATTCAAGTTGAAATAAGAAATGTTGCCTTAGTAACTTACTGAAATATGTATTTTTAAATATTTTGTTTCAGTTAACATTTATTTCAAGTGATGAAAATGTTTTATTAATGGTTTTAATTTTAGTTTCAATTAAATTTTCGTTATACTACACTATAATTACTATAAGTGAAGTGAAGTGACGTGGCCAAGTATGGTTACCCATACTAGGCATACTTCAACATGTTAAAAATAAGTGTAATATATACTGCAAAATAATCATGAAATTGCATTATTTAGTCATACTATTCAACTGGTAGTCATGTTAGCACCTATTAAAAATCAAAAAATCAAATGTATTTCGTTTGTATTGTGTGTGCGGGGCACCGGACAAATGGGTGTCTGCTAGGTCTGTAAACTTTTGAAACGCATGTGACTTGAGGCTGAGCTCTAATTGTCTTGTTTCAGATTGTCCTCGACCCTCCCACTTTTGATTTTAGCGAATCAATATTGTTTTTATGTACAGTATATTGGCCTCATGTGATTGGACCATTCTCGACTGTCAAATAGGCGCAATATCTCTTTCAAGATGAAAGTAAATTTGATTTTAACTTTACAAAAAATCCTTTCACAAGGCGTTCAAATGAAGAAAAATATATATGGATGGAGCTTGGACGGAGTTGGCTCGCTGGATGCGATGTAAGTCATGCCTTTTTTTGTTTTCCCTGTTTGTTATTTCAAAGTCCTGTCACCGAAGCGTTGTGGGCAACGACACAGAAGGTAACTGAAACAATGCCGTTTAACTTGAGCCGATCATCGAAATCCAAGCACAATGGTTTGTGTAGATAATGCAGTTACAATGGACATTGTCTCTTTTCAAGTAAATTATGAGTCTTTATGTAAGAATTATTATATGCAAAATAATTAAATAATAGATAAATAATAAAATATAAATAATATAGTGTCCCTTCTTCAGTTGGACACATTTGGTTACGTCTGAAAACTTGACAAATATATTGTCAATAGCATTAAAATTAGGATAAAAAAATATGGTCTATAAGTATTTAGGAGATTACCGTTTTTGCATACTTATTATACTGGGCTTTATTAAAATTTATTAAAATGAATTTATATGTCAAAAGTCAGTTTATTGAACCATTTTCACAGGCTTTATCTTGAAGGATTTGCTACTATCCTGTGGCTCCGTCGTGTGGACAACATTAGTATTATGGCTTTCATCTCTGAATCACATTAATATAAATGGCTAACATATTTTTGAATGATTACAAATGTTTAATGATTACTTGATTGATAATATATCCACATTAAATTAAAATTCACTGATTCGGTATCTTATTTCATGCGGTATCTTAATGCGGCGCAAGTTCTGTTTCACAGTGAAAAACAAAGTATAACAAAGAATATGGGTGACAGATTTCATGGCATGTTTGTGGCTGCCAAGTTTCAGCTGTAGAAGCACGCATACACTATAATTACTATAAGTGAAGTGAAGTGACGTGGCCAAGTATGGTTACCCATACTAGGAATTAGTGCTCTGCATTTATCCCATCCTAAGTGCACACACACAGCAGTGAACACACACACACCGTGAACACACACCCGGAGCAGTGGGCAGCCATTTATGCTGCGGCGCCCGGGGAGCAGTTGGGGGTTCGGTGCCTTGCTCAAGGGCACCTCAGTCGTGGTATTGAAGGTGGGAGAGAGCGCTGTACATTCACTCCCCCTACCTACAATCCCTGCCGGTACGAGACTCGAACCCACAACCTTTGGATTACGAGTCCGACTCTCTAACCATTAGGCCACGACTTCCCCTATTTTTTTTTATTTATTTTTTTTAATAATAATCCGTATATAACTATGATAACCCTGATGTGCACTTTCTAGTAATTTATTGTACTGTAAATTATTTCAGATTTACTAGCCCCTTTACAGGTAAACAATCTGTGGTTGGTCAGGTGGTCTGTTCCTGTAGGTGGTTCTTGGCTTGAAAATCCTGCAAAGTGCTGGTCCATGACGCTGATAGTGATGGCAAAGGGATGCTATCTGTCCGCCTGTGACAAATAAATGCAAAAAAATTATTCCACTCACCATGTCGGTGTCTGAAACAGGGCCAAAACTGGTGACGTAAATGTCGGTCTTCACTGTGGTAACTCGATCTGGAAAAACAAAAAGAAGAGACATCAAAATGACCAGTGTTATTTTCCCAGAGTGCAACGGCAACAGCCTTGTCTCATCTACCTTGAAAGAGGCATCTTTGTAAAACCGCATTGTCCGAGAGAAGAAATTATTTGTGAATTTCACATTTTCTTTACAGGTTCACAGCAGAAAGAGCATCTTTCTTTCCTGAGATGAAAGCGTGCATTAGGCAGGTGTAAATGTGCTTGCGTTTACTGGCCCTGTGTTGGGTTGGCTAGTAATCAAATCTTTCTGTTCATGCTTCAATATATTCATTTTCCCCCTCCTTTTTCTGAGCTTTCTTTCTTTCTGGCATTCAAAAGAGCTCCTGATATTTCCTCTGCTCGCTGCACTAAACAACACAGGCCCACAGTAAGTACATTCAGTCAGACAGCGAAATATTAAATACACACACACACACACACACACACACACACATGCATAACTACTGCATTTTCACTGATACTTTAAAACAGAACCAAATAACTGTAAAACATAACTCAAATAAAAATATAGCACAATTTCAAAATTCCTAACCCTAATTTTTAGGACTCTTTGGGTAATGGTCTCTGCTTTCATGGCATGTTTGTGGCTGCCAAGTTTCAGCTATAGAGGCACGCAACATCCGGTAGGTGATGCTTGCTCGCTCTCATTGGCTATCGCGGGTATCACGTCAGAGGCAGCCAGATCAAGAGTGGTAATATCAAACATGTTTGATATTTACGATTTGAGTTCGGGGACGCGCCGTCTCAGTCGGGAGCAGTTAAATAATCATAATGACACCACACAATAGAGGATGTTTTGGACAAAAAATCGCTTGCGACAAGCCTCAAATCTGGTCACGCCCCCCGATCGTCCGGGGGTGCAAATCGGGCTTAAAATCGGCCTTAAAATCATCTAATGTGCGGCCAGCCTGAAGCACATCATTCAAATAAATGTGATCTTACCGCACTATTTCATCTCTGTGTCTGATTTGAAGCGGGCAGAATGTTAGCGCTAACGTGCCATAACTGACAAAAATAACTGTAATAATAATCATCTTTACCCTTCTGGTCAAATATTGAACTGCAAAGAGCAATACTAGTTTTGTCTATAACTTGGAACCATGGAATAAGTGGGATAATTCAGTCAGACAGCGAAATATTAAATACACACACACACACACACACACACACACACATGCATAACTACTGCATTTTCACTGATACTTTAAAACAGAACCAAATAACTGTAAAACATAACTCAAATAAAAATATATCACAATTTCAAAATTCCTAACCCTAATTTTTAGGACTCTTGTTGCAAATTTTGCTGAATAAAACTACCAGTTTTCTGCAAAACTGCACCTGTACATTCATTTAACTGCAGTCTCCAGGTGAAATAACCACTACCGGCAATAAACCACCAATAATTTTTGTTGCTTTTCATATAAATTATGATTACAGGGGCAAATTACTGAAGAATAAAGGCTTATACATTACTTAATCCACTTCAAATGGTGTATGAATACTGTGAAGACACTTTAAAAAAGCTCAAAGACTTGTAGATGGAAAAGCAAACCTGGCATGATTGCTTTAGCAAATGCATTTTGCTGAATGTTTGCTCGGTTAGGTTTAGGGTATTTTAAAGCATAATAGAGCATTAACCTTTTAGCTCCACTCACTGGACATTTCATTTTTGAACCTGCATGTTACATACTACAAACTGCGTAATGAAACGTTGCCACTTCAGAATGACCGATTGATCGGTTTTGCCGATTAATCGGCACCGATAACCAATTGCTGAAATAATCAGTTATCAGCAAAAATTCATACCGATAGTTTTCCAGGTTGAGTCCATTGCTTTTGCACTTTTTCTTGTCGTCCCTGTATTACATATATTATATGTATAATGTATATTACATGATACAGCTTATAATGCCTCTTGTGGATGTATCATTTAAAAAAGTGGAGTGAAATGAAATACTCTAAGCAATATATTTAAAGTTTTGCAGAATTGTAGGCAGAGTTGCATATTTGTAGTAAGCCTAGGTTGCAAGCTACTTACTATATCAGTCCTAAAAATTGATTTTTAAATACAAAAAAATTACACAGCAATACAAAATACAAAATTCTGCTTTGCTACACAAAAAAAGAGGTTTCAATGCAAACAAATGCAGAGCACCACTCTGTCCCATATGCAGATAAATATCAGAATGACTGATATAATCTCATAAGTTCAAAGTGAGAGCCAGGGGGTCTTCAGCGCTTCTTTAGTGCTTAAAGTGGCGAGTGTATTCTGAGCTTGGAGAGGCTGGTATGTTATATTAATAGCTGGCTAATGTAGGGGTGGTTTATTCAGCGCTGAGCAGGAGGAGAGAGGCTCGGAGACACCAGGATGCTTTGATGTCTTTTCTGTGGGGTTTATATTCACTTTATTCTCCTGTTTCATAAACACAAGCTGATAGAAATACTGTGTAATCAGCCGACGACAACAGCAATCAATCAAACAAGAAGAAATTAAGACTGCTCATCTTAAAACAATGTCACTCTCCTTTTCTGTCTGTCTCTGTCAGGTCTCTAAAATTGCTCTAATTATACAATGTCTTCAGCGCTTCTTTAGTGCTTAAAGTGGCGAGTGTATTCTGAGCTTGGAGAGGCTGGTATGTTATATTAATAGCTGGCTAATGTAGGGGTGGTTTATTCAGCGCTGAGCAGGAGGAGAGAGGCTCGGAGACACCAGGATGCTTTGATGTCTTTTCTGTGGGGTTTATATTCACTTTATTCTCCTGTTTCATAAACACAAGCTGATAGAAATACTGTGTAATCAGCCGACGACAACAGCAATCAATCAAACAAGAATAAATTAAGACTGCTCATCTTAAAACAATGTCACTCTCCTTTTCTGTCTGTCTCTGTCAGGTCTCTAAAATTGCCCTAATTATACAATGTCGCGCGCTCGTCTGGGCGCCGACCCAACGAGGATAGAAAAGGGGAAAAAATGCATTGATATTCATCTCTGGCTAGATTTTGCATGCCGTTTCTGCACAGAATCGATAGACTGCCATGGGAAAGTATAAAAAGACATAGAAAAACATGTTTTCGTCTTCTCAGGTCTTCTCTGTGTTGAGGGTAGTTGCAGTGCAGTGTTGCTATGCAGTTTCTAAGGTGTTGGGAGTGGTTTCTTGTTTATTGCTATTAGATTTCTAGATGGTTGCTATAGAGCTGAACATTGATTAAAATAAAACTGAAATGCATTGTGGCTTAGAACATAAAAAGAGAAAGACTGCAGTTTCATGTTCTTTTACACACAAGCAGGTCATTATCTGATGCTTTCAGTATCTCAACATATCACCTTTTTTATCAGATTTGAATGAAAAGTTTTTAAACCTGTTGCCAACAAAGGGGTGCTTTAAAGGGCTCCCTGCACTTTTTTCCACCAAAATAAAAGCTTAATTGTTTGAAACTGAAATTAAGACAAATAAGACATAAAATAAAATTATTATTATTATTATTTTATACTTATAGTTACTAATACTAATAAATATTAATATATTTATACCTTTTTATTTTACAGTAAAAAATTATTATTACAATAGTATATTTATATTTTTACATTTATATTTCTTATTTTCTTTAAAATTTAATAAATAAATAAATAATAATAATAATAATAATAATAATGCTCTTTAATTTTTATTATAGCTCTTTATTATTTTTTTTATTATAGCTCTTTAAGAAAAGGGTCACATTTTAATCACAATCGCAATTTTATCAGAAGAATCACAATTCAATTTTTTTATGTTCTTTACTGACTCAAAAGTGTTCACCCTCAAATCTCTGATATTCTGCTTCCTCCTTCAGTGTGTCTATGAGATATTCTTCATCCATATACTAGGTGAATTTTTTTTTTCTTAACCTAAACAAGCAGTTTTAATAAAATAAAACAATAAGCAACAGTAATGATAATGCTAGTCTAGTAATGGTACTAATAATTAAGACTACTCATCTTCAAAACAATGGCTGTCTCACTCTCTTCAATTGCCCTAATTACTCAATGCCACACAAGCGTCTGGGCACCATCCCAACGAGGATAAAAACGGATGAAAAAACAGAGAAATTCCACTGAATTGACATTCATCTCTGACAGAGATGAAAGACTGCTGGGAAGGCATAAAAAACCTACTGTTTTAAGTAGCTTTTATAAACCGCAGCTTCTATTGTGCATGGCTATCAGGTGACATTATTCTGCGGGGTAAGACGGTTGTGTTGTTAGCGGTCTGTGTGTCTGAGTGAATGTAAAGTGGCTCGGCCGGGTCTCAGAGGGACGGGGGAAGGGTTGAGAGACTGTCTGAAATGAGACTGGGGTTATAAAGAAGTGCTCTTATATACATGACATTATTCACATATGCAGCAGAGAGATGCGTAACGTCTGTTTGACTCTCTGTTTGACTTCACCTCTCATTCTGTGAGACCAATGTTCTTCCAAAACCTAGTGAACTGCCTTGCTGTTTACTCTCTACATCACCAGCACCAGCTTTTTAAGGCTGTGCTCTACATAGTCTTCACCTCTGCATACTGAACATGAAGTGAGACAATATAATAGTATATATATACGCTATACTGTTCAAAAGTTTGGGATCAGTAAGACTTATAATGTTTTTAAAGAAGTGTCTTATGCTCATCGAGGCTGCATTTATTTGATCAGCTTTGATAAAAAAAAAATGAAGGTAAACTTGTTTTTCCCACATTCATTATGATTATCCAACAATAATATTAGCAACGAAAAATCAAGATTATCATTAATATTTTAAAAATAAAGAAATACATTACTGTTGCAATAATACTTTTGTAGTGTAAAATAAAAAGAAATTCGCATTTAACAATAATAAGATAAATTATCTTATGTAATAAGATCATAATCAAGATATTATTTTCAATTTTACTATTATTATTATTTAACTGTGAAAATAGTATCTAAATAATTACTACTACTACA